GCTACAAGGCCGCCCCAACCCTGGCAGAGCCACCGCTGGGCTCTGTGGGACCCTGAGCCACTGCACCAGGCTGGCACACGGCCTCCCGGCCACCACGTCTCCATCTGCAGGGTGCAATAGTGACACGCCACTTCCTCGGCAGCTGTGCAGATGAACTGAGATGGCTCCACAATGTGGAGAGGACAGAGGCCATGCGGAGCCCCCAGGGCTGGCACAGGGTTCCTAGGCACCTCTGGCCCCCGGCACCACCCACTTGTATCCCCTGGCCCGCCTGTGTCCCTCGGCTCTCGGCCCCCACAGCTCCCGCGGGAAGGGAGGCTCCAGGAGGCCCCAGCGAGCCGCAGGGCCCTGGCAGGGGCAGGTCAGTCCCCACCCCTCCAGGGCTGTCTGCCCCTCCACCCTCAGGCGTGATGGATCGTCGGGTGGAGGAAGCTAAGTGCTTGCAGACAAAAAGCCCTTTTATCGCCCCCGGGTGGGCCACTGGCGTGACAAGCAGATAACTCAGGCGGGAGGAAGGCTCCCATTAGGCGCCACGCGGATGGATGTGGGGGGGCGAGACACAGAGGGTGCAGGGGAGGAGGAAGTGGAGAAGCAGGAGGAGGAGCAGTCGGGAGATGCACCCAGCAAGACCGCCTGCCTCCCACGTCAGAGGCCTGAGCCACCAGCCAAACAGCCAGAAGACAGCATGGTGGGCAGTGCCACGCGGGATGCCACCCGGGACCTCACCCAAGGAGGTACCAACCGCCCTCCCACCATGGCCAGGGGCTGGGGAAACCAGCCTGAGGGGCTCTCTCCACCCGGCCTGCAGGGACCCCTGCCCAGGTGACGTCTGCCCTGCAAACCAGGAACTGCTCCAGGGCCCTGCTCCTCTGCACAGCTGCACCCTCGCCAGGACACCCCCACGGCTCTGTTCCCCAGCCCCCCAGCCCCTGGCAGTCCCTCACCCAGACGGGGTGCCCGTGGCTGCTTTGGCAAGGACCATTAAGTGAGTGCAGAAGGAAATCTCCAGATAGAGGCCAGGCACCAAATGCTCCCTCTGCAGGGAGGCCGTGCCCACGCCAGCCACCCCAAGGTGTCAGGCACCTGCCCCAGAAGCCCCGCAGAGCCCCATACGCCTGCCAGGCAGAACTCCGCACCCACGTGACTCCATCTGCTTCCCAGGAGGAGGCCCAGCACTGAGCCCCGGGCACCCACAGGGACAGACGGGAGCCTACCAGACACTGCCACCAGGAGCCACGTCCCCATGGAGCAGACACCTACAGAGAAAACAAGCACCCGTTACCAGCATCGCAGCCTCCCCCAGCGCCAGGGGCTGGAGGGCCCCCGTGATGGCGTGTGCTGGACTGTCACACACTGGGCCAACATGCCCCCACCACAGCCCTATGTGGGGCACTGCCACCCACTAGACAGGGCCAGCATCTCGTGCCCTGGGCCACACAGCTAGGAGGTGGCCAAGCTGGGTCAGTGTGGCACCAAGCAGCCCACACCCCACAGGCTGCCACGTCACCTGCCCCGCTAACATCTGCAGAGCCCAGGTGGGCAGGTGCGTGGGCACCAAGGGCAGGAGAGTCACCTCCTCCAGGAGAACTCGAGTCCCCACACAAGGTCAGAGCATCTGGTTATGACCTGCACCCAGCACACGGCGGGCAGCCACAGACAGGGAAGGGCCAGGCGCCCCTGCAGGAAGCAAGCGGGAGATGGGCACTTGACGGACACCGCGCAAGACAGGGCAAGGCAGGACAGATGCGTGGCCACAGCACAGGGAAAGACACCCAGTCAGCACAACAGCGCAACTTAAAGCAAGAGACCAAGCTGAGCGTGGAGGCACAGGCCTGCAGTTCCAACTACCCAGGAGACTGAGGCAGGAAGATCCCTGGCTCGAGGCCAGCCTGAACTGGCAACCTAGCAAGATCCTTTCTTTAAAGAAAAAAAAAAAAAGTAACAAGTGCCTGCCTGGCAAGCATAAGGTCCTGAGTTCAATTCCTGGAACCAAAAAGAAAAAAATATAAACCTGGGGTGTGACTCAGTGGTAGACACGCCTGGGTTCAACCCCCAGTACCACAGAAAACAGAAGACTATGACCTGCTTACCAGAGTGGTTAAAACTAGGCAGACAAGGGCAAGTGTAGTCAAAAAAGCGGGGCAGCTGGAAGTCCACGAGGCTGCAGTACGACACCTGGAAAGCAGCCAGACGCGGGCGCATTGGTCATGCGACCCAGCAAGCCCACTCCTTAAGTCGGGGGGTGCAGAAATGCAGCTGCACACGGCCTGCACGGGACAGGCGCTCAGCACACACCTGCATGAGGAAAACAGCCCAACTGCCCAACCACAGGGCCCTCCAGACCACGCGTGCTGCCCCGCGGGGGGCGGGGGTCCAGGCAGACGCAGCCACTGGGCGGGATCGTCTGCCACGAGGAGCCAAGAGCTTCAGCTCCAGGATTCCGCTTACTCCGGGATTTCCCACAGAGACCCACAAGGGTGGTCAAACCACCAAACAGTGTAGCCAGGTCTGGCGGCGCATGCTCGTAATCCCAGCATCCAAGAGGCGGAGGCGAGAGGGTCCCCATGAGTTCAAGGCCAGCCTGAGCTACATAGCCAGGCCCCATTTCAAAATGAAGTGAAATGAAATGAAATGAAATGAAACGAAACGTAACGCAACAGCATTTCTCACGCAAAGCTTAGGGTGCTGATCCCCTCCGGGCGACCTCGGGGTACCCCCTCCCTAATCTGTCTCCCACCAGGCCATGTGTGTGCACTCTTTATTGTGTGCCCTTCCAAATGAAAAAGAATCAGCAGAAACCGGGGGCAGAGCACTGCACCGAGTCCAAAGACCCGGCTGGGACCCCAGGCAGCTCTCTCTGAGCTCCGCGCTCCCATCCGGAGAAAGGGCGGGACATGGGTCGCCTCCGGGACCCGCCCATGCAGCAGCAGCTCAGTCCCAAGCAGCCTAGAAAGTCGCCCTCTGTCTGCCTGGCGCTGGGCCCCAAAGATCCCAAGCTGGTGGGGCCATGCTGCGGCAGCTGCGGCGGAGCATGGGTCTGGAGCCCGCTCCCGGGGGTCCAGCCTGCCTCTGCTCCCTCCCAGCGGTGCAAGCTGGGACCAGCCGCTGCACTCTCCGAGCCTTGGCTTCCTCACTCTGGCTGAAATGGAAGTCTGGCCCCAGGACGCTATGACAGCAAGGTGCACTGGGCTGGGCCTGCATGCCAAGCCTTACCCACCCACTCCAGGAAGTGCCAGCCGAGCTCGCCCTCCTGCCGCCCGCTCTGGCCACGCCGTGACCAGAAGCCTTGGACCAGCAGCTGCAGGCAGCTCCCAGGGGAAAAATCCAGCTCATCTCTCCGGTCCTGTTTTCCCTTACGAGCTTTTTTTCTTCCCCGAGATGCCCCCAGGCATGGCACTGCTCCTGCCATCTGCGGCAGCTCAGAGACGGCCCCTGCGGGCAGGAGGGCCGGGCACGGCTCCCGGAAGCCTCGGCGGCCAGCCAGCCACCTGCAGGTCGGCGTCTCAGGCTCTGGAGCCAGGCCTGCTCCCCCTGCCAGTCCAGCATGGGGTAGGGAGGGGGCGTCCAGGGCAGTGCAGGGCACCCGGCAGTGACAGAGCTACACTCATCCAAGGAGCAGGTCCCATCTAGGGAAGCCAACTGGGATCCCCCAGGAGGACCACTGCCCACTGGCTGAACAGAGGACAGGCAGAAAGGGGCAGGGTCGAGGGGCCAGTGCAGCCCAGGGCTCTGGGGGACCCAGTGGCTGCAAGTGGGGAGCAGCCACCGCTGACCACACAGGCCCGGGGGATGTGGCTTCTCCCAGACCTGTGACTCCCTCTGGAGGGATGTGAGGGCTGGCAAGGGACAAAGACGTGTCCAGCGGTGGAGTGGGGGCCACGCACGGGCAGAGGCCACCACAGGGGTCCACGCCAGGGAGGGGGCACATGGGGGACAGCGGACACGGGGCATGTGTGCAGGAGAACGGGGGTCTGGCAGCAGAATCCAGGCAGCAGGGAGGGGCAGCCCTAGACAGCTGGGGGGGGAGCAGCACCTGTGCGCCAGCCTCCCCCGCCCACGCCCACGCTGCGCTGCACGCCTTGCCCCCATGACTGCTCTGTCTCACACACACACACACACCCGGCTCAGGGCACAAGGGCTGGGCTCCCTGCCCCCCCGCGCAGGACCCACCCCACTCGGCCCTCAGCAGCTACAGAAAGCTCTGTGCTGGGCTCCGGACCCCCTGGACTGGGTCAGGAACACAGGGGTGCGGCCAAGGCACGTGGGGAGCAGCAGGAACCCAGAGAACTCTCCAAGGCCCCCCAGGCCCATGTCAGGTCCCCCACTGGGACCACCCCTCGCCAGCCCCGCAAGGCGCCCCAGGGCCCACCGCAGCTCCTTTGCCTCTCTGTCCCACGCTCCCCACCTCTTCTGCCCCCAGGACAAGCGAGCCACGGGCAATCACCACCCCAGAGGCTAGCGGGAACTAATCAGCCACATGCAACCCATAGCCATCCGGCCAGACAGAGCTGGCATCAAACCAGAGGACGCCAGGCTGACTGGACCAGGACACCACCAACCTTCAGCCAGCTGACAATGGTGACAGCGGCCCCACCGTGGGCCAAGCACAGGGACCCAGGGGGGAGGGGGCACAGTCACGCACACCCACAGCCGAACACCCCACGGGTGCACCAACAAGTGAGCAGGACGACCAGAGCAGCGACTGCAGTGACACAAACCTAGCTGGTCAAGGAAGGTGGCCACACGGACAGCAGGGAGACAGAGCACGTGCAAAGGCCCCCGCGTGGACTGCAGAGGCCGGGCTGGGGAGCTGTAGGCAGGGCCGCGGAGGGGCGGAGCTAGTGCGTCTGGGCGGGGCTGTGCAGGGACGGCCGGGGAGGGGAGGGGCTCGTGCGTCTGGGCGGGGCCGTAGGAGAGGCTTAGGGAACTGCCAGGCTGCGCCCGCAGGGACACCTGGGTTTACACGCTACATCTTCCCGTCCCGTCCCGTCCCGTCCAGTCCAGTCCTGTCCCAGCCCAGCCTCAGCTCTGGGAGGAGACCCCACCCCTTCCCCTGCAGGCTTTTGTCGGCTCGGCAGAGCTGTTTTGTTTTGCAACGCCAGGGAAGAAACAGGGTCTCTTGCGGGATCCGGGACCTCAGACCCGGTGTGACCCAGGTACCCAGAGTTGGACAGACTGAGCCCTGACACATCAGCAGGCCAACAGGCAGCCTCGAGGGAGCCGGCAGCCCAGACAACCGAGGGAGGAGCGGGGGAGGAGGGACAGGGGAGGGAGGACCCCCTTCCACTCTGCAGCCACCTCGGTGCTTCACTCTCCTCCTGCGGTGACAGCTGAGGGATCCACCTTCGCGTCTCCTTGAGGACGCAGAGCAGCCACTCCAAGTCCAGCAACACGAAGCCACAGCCCGGCAGCCACCGCTGAACACACCAAGAGGGTGACAGGAAGGCAGCAGGTGAAGAGCCCCTCCCCCGCAGAATCCAGGCCAAGGCGGACAGTGGGCGGGGGCAGCAGGTGCGGCGGACTGGACGGACTGGCCTGGAGCCGCACGGTGAGGGAGGGGGCTGTGGTCTGTCACCCACGGGCCCCACAGGCTCAGGGGAGGCCAGAGGAGCAGGTGAGCACCCGCCCCAAGGCCATCCTGCAAACTAACGGATGACCACAGTACAGTGGGGTCACTGGTGACAACGACCTTCCTGCAGCCGGGCCGCGTGCCATCCTCCCAGCCCAGCAGGGTGGGCACCATCCTGACCCCATTTCTAGGACAGAGAAACCGAGGCCCCAGGGCTGCCACCAGCCACCCAAGATCAATGGAACACAGGCCAGGGAGACTCAAGACAGCCTGAGACCCCACTGCCCACCAGGGGTTCACTGTGCCGGGCACCACACTCAGCCCTTTACGCCCAGTAACTCACACGATTCTCAAGTCCCCTACAGCACCCAGATGACAGCCGATGACGCAGTAAAGCTCAGACTGGACGCCACGCCACCTGGCACCCTGGGGAGTCAGAGAAGACCGAGGGAATGCTGATCGGAGGCTTCCGGAAGCCCCCGCAGGTCCCCCCACAAAGGCTCCTTCAGGTCACCCCCAAGCTGTGCGCACACCCCAAACCACTGCTCAGCCCTCCCAGAGAAGGCCAGCCAGGAGCCCCGCCACACACCAACCCTCAGCCTGGGCCCAGCCCCCACCCAGGAGCAGGAGCTCAGGCAGGCAGAGGCCACGCAGGGCTGGGGCCGCCATCAATCGATCGCCAGAAGCAATTAATTGCCTGGGTCAAGAGATGGTAAAAGAGAATTGTCACCGGGGCCGGGGACATTCCAGAGCAGCGCAGCCTGCAGCCCAGGGCAGAGAGCAGAGGGACGGGGGACGCTGGGCCCGGCCCCCGCTCGCACCACCAGCCTCCCAGGCCTCCCGCCCCAGGGTCACCGCGGTGGCCCCTGCACACACCAGTCCTGACCCACTCGGGTGAGGACCCAGCCCAGCAGGCAGGCAGGGCCAGGCCGCACCCGCTGCTCAGCCTGGGGGGACGGCACAGCCCCCACCCGGGTCTGCCCACCTTCCCAGCTTCCTCAGGCCCGCTCCTCCTCTGCTAGAAATGGAGATAAAGGTGAAGGCCGCAAGGCCAGGCTGAGACAGGCCAGACCAGGCCAGCACCGCCCTCCCTCAGCCCCAGGAGCCCCCGCCCCTCCCCACGTCAGGCTCGGACAACGCCCTGGGCCGTGGCCAACGCCCCACTCAGGGCAGCCTTGAGACTTGGGTGCAGCTCACAGGGCTCCCCACACCCTCCCTAGGGCCTCACCCCAGTGCCTGTCGGTGCCCGAAGCACCTCGGACACCAGGATCAGACAAGGGCAAGGGCCATGATGGGAGGACCTGACCGGGGGAGGACGCCGACGGAGCGCAGCACGGCCCACCCCGCCTCTGCAGCACGCGTCACCAAGCTTCGGGACAGTCGCCCTGGACACCGGAAGTGCGAGGCACAGGTCAGCACCCTACGACCCTGACGGACGGGGCCCAGGGCAAGGCCTCCTCGAGCCTCCCAGGCCAGCACCTTGACTGTGAGGCCCCCATCCCTGCCTCCACCTCCACCGCTCACGCCAACAGGGAAACCAGGCCAGCCTTGCATGCGGAGCGAGCTCAGGACTCACCGGGGCTCTCCGTGCCCTGGGAGAGGGGAGATCCCCACGGGGTGCCACTCGTGTCGTGGGGGCTGTTGGGCGCCGGGCAGCGCTGGGTGGGGCGGACAAGCTCCCTGAGCTCAGGACTCAGCCACAAGCTGAGGCGCTAAGGACTGTGAATCCTCAGTCTGAGTCGCAAGACTGTTGAGAATCACAGGCACTAATCCAGCTTGTGGCCTTGCAGGCACTCATCTGTTATCCCAGTTGCTCGGGAGGCCGGGGCAGGAAGATCTCAAATTCAAGGCCAGTTTGGGCAACCTAGAAAGACCCTGTCTCAAAAAGGACTGGGGGTGCAGCACCGGGCCGGGGATGCGAGGCCCTGTGTCCATCCCCAGGGCCGCAGAATAACAAAAGAAACAAGAAACCAGCACGTGCCTGCCCAGGGCAGAAGGGGACACCGCAGAAGGGCCCGGGCCGAGCCGCGGGCAAAGCCGCAGCAGGCAGCAAGAGGCTGAAATCCCGCTCCCTGCCGGGGCCTTGCAGCTTTTATCTCCTCGGAGATAAAACGCCTCTCGGGGTCACACCCGGGATCCAGTGAGCCTACTTAACCCCCTCAGGGACTCCCTGAGCCACCCCTCAGGAAGACAGGGCCCCGCCGCATGGCAAGGAGGGAGGCACCCACGCCCTGGGCGCCCAGGAGCTACACAAACTGCACTCTCCAGACAGGGAAACTGAGGCCCAGAGAAGAAACAGCCAGCCCAAGGCGACAGCGCCTCACTGCACCTCAGGGGTTTCCCAAGGGCTTCCCAAGAGCCCTTGGGAAAACCTCATTTCCCACAGGGAAATTGAGGCAGACGGGAGCCTCCCACCTCTCCCGTATCAACGGCAAAGCAAGGGTTGGGTGGGTGGAGCCGCCAGGCTGGGCGGGTACGCAGCGGGCACTTAATGAACGGCATCCGATCAGTGGACCCATGGCTGGAGCCTCCCGAGGGGAGGGACAGGGCTGCACCTTTGCCACTTAAGGAGGACACACCTGTTCTCCTCAAAACCCAAGGGCTCTTTTGTCCAACAGTGCCACACTGCTTATCAGGCCTGGCCCTGCAGGCTCTCACAGGCGGGAGAGGGCTCAGGGGGACCCCACCCCTCGGGCAAGGGCTGCGCCATCTCGGGGTCAGGGTGCCCAAGAGAGGGCCCGGCAGCCTGTGCCACAGCCAACCTCGAAGCCAGTACACGCAGCCACCCCCGGGCACACGCCAGCCTCATGCTGGGCTGTGACAAAACGCTATGCGGAAGGTACAACCGGAAGGTACAACGGGCCAGGCGGACGACAGCGCCAGCCCAGGCAGCAAAACTACCATCGTAAAAACAGTGAGAACGACACCCTTCTGGATGCCCGGCTAACCCTCCCAACAGCCTGGAAAGGCAGGTCCCGTCTGCAGCTTACACAGGGAAACTGAGGCACGGGGCAGGTTAGCATGGCCAAGGACACAAAGCTGGAAAGTGGCAGTGGGGGAGGGGAGCCCAGCCACTGAGGCCCTGCTGGAGACCTCTCAGGTCTGCCACCATGACCAGAAGGTCACCCAGCTGAATTAAATACGGAGCCATTGATCCAGGGGTAGTCACTGGCTATTTCTTTTTAATAGAAGGCAGTCACCTCAGCTCTGCATGGAGCCGGTCCAGGGCCGGGGCTGGTGGCGCAGGCCCTCCCTCCCCTCTTCCCAGCGGCCTTCTGTCCCCAGACCCCATGCGTCATCCGCCTCCCCGTCATCTGTCCCCCACCAGGCCTCCCTGGCTCCCTGATCACAGGCTAAGGCTCCTGGACGCCAGCCAGAGCCAGCGTCGCCTCTGCTTCAGGACAGCTGGGAAGGAAGGAAGCGCAGGGCTCTGCTGCTATGAATCTGGAACAGCCGCCCCTGGGGACAGGCCCTGGCACAGGGGACGGACGGCGCCCTGGAGAGCCAGCAGAGCTGGTCACGGGACATGCTGGGCACACACTGTCTTCCTGGCCAGCCCTGGGGCCAGGCACTCCCCCTGGAGGAAGGAACCACGAACCTCGTGTCTCCTGAACCCTACAGTCCCTGCCCCTCAGCTCCGTCCCTGTCCCTCAGCCACAGCCTTGAGAGATGGACTCCAAGGTCACGGCAGCAGGGACACAGCCTCTCATCCCTGGCTGCCCCAGGCTGCCGGCTCAAGGCCAACACAAGCCTCTGGTTGCTGTGACGCGTGGCCACAAGCTGAGCAACTTAAAAACAATGCTGATGGCCAGAGTGGATGCACATGCCTGTCATCCCAGCCACTTGGAAGGCTGAGGCAGGAGAACAGCAGGTTCAGGCCCAGCCCGGGGAACTTCCTGAGACCCTGTCTCAAAATTTTTAAAAGGGGGAGGCGGCTGAGTATGTAGCGCAGTGCAGCTAGGGTGAGGAGGCCCCGGATTCCAACCTCAGTACCACAGAAACTAAAAAATTAAAATTAAGAAAAAAGAACACAGCACTAGTTCATGATTTTGACGGGCCTGAGCCTGAAGAGATTGAACAGGGCTAACATCAGATGCACAAAAAACCAGGCTCCCTGGTGGCGCCAGGGACAGTCCAGTTTTGGTTCTAGCTTCTTTTTTTTTTTGTCCTTTACAGACAGGGACTCACTATGCAATTCTTGGCTGGCCTTGCAATGATCCTCCTGCCTCAGCCTCCCAAGTGCTGGCATCACAGGTGTGCACCATATCTGATATCTCTTTGGTGTTTATCAAAAGATCTGCACAGCTTCTGGGCAGGCATTGGCACATCTTTCCGGGGACCGTTATTCTGCTCCAAAATAAAAAATCTCGGAGACCTTAACAGAGCTCCTAAGGCCCCCTCCCACGGAGCCTGGGCTCGGACAGCTGCTTCTCAAGGGCCCTGTGACTCAGTCGTCCCTTTTCTGCCCAGCATGAGCGGCCTGCCCAGCCCGGACCCTCCTCAGCAACACAGAGCCTGGCCTTGACTCCAAAGTGCTCTGGGTAGAGCCCTATGACCTCCCGCTGGAGCCCTCTTCTCTCCAGGTTAACCGAGCCACTCCCAATCACACACCTGAGCAGCGTTTTCCCACCACCACAAACCACCCCGATGTGTCCTGCACGCTGCGGATCCCCGAGGAGCACCGGAAATCACCCCTGCCAAGACCCATACTCCCCCTCTGTCCCTTCGAGGCCAACACGACAGACACCAGCGAAGAGCATGACTTCTGTGGACCCTCAAGACATCACCGGAAGCCAGGCCGCGGGGCTCTGCCTGGCAGGTGAATGCCAGTGTGACACCGGGTCTGGAAAAACGTCCAGAAGGCTGAGCAGCGTGAGCCCTCGCGGCCGGCAGGGGACGAGGATGGGGGATGGGAGGCGGAGACAGGTGCAGGGGAGGGAGATCGGAGGCCACCAGGGCTGCTCAGATGGCGCCGGCGCTGGTCAGCAGCCTGCCCGCAGCTGATGGTGAGCCCCCAGGAGCCAGGGTCCCCAGGCAGGCCCAAGAGGGAGCGCCAGTCCTGCCCTCCCACGGCGTGAGGACACCAGCAGTACGAACACTCAGCGGCCACTGAGGGCAAGGAGGGGCACGTTCCTTTCAGCATCCCCTTCTGTCACCTGCCCGCCAGAAGGCTTAGGAAGGGCCACCCGCTGTCCTGCACGGCACAGCGGGGTCCCCAGGGTCCAGGTGGCCCCACCTCGCCCTCCCCGGCCCCGTGGCCTGTGCCGGTCACTTCCCCTCCCCGGGTCTCAGCACCCTTCTCAATGTCAAGCCGCTCACCTCTACAGCCAGGCCAGAGCCTCGGGGGCCCAGAGATGCAGGAAAGCCTGAAGGTCACAGGGCAGCCCTGCCGCGCCCCCTGGCTGCACTGCCGTCCCGCCGGGCTGCGGGCTGCGGCGCGGGCAGCGTCCAAGCCAGGTGCTAGGAGACACGGCTTCCTGCCCGCTGCAGCAGCTATTTATAGCCGAGCAGGCAGAGGCTGAGACGACAGGGTCCACTTCCTGCACGCCACAGCCACAGCCGCGTCGGCCTGGAGCCTTGGAGAGGACCCCAGGGGCAGGCGGGGTCAAGGCACAGACACGGCTGCACAGAACCCCGGGGCCAAGATTGCAGGGCACATGCACGCCTGTGCACGCCACTCGAGCCCCGCCACGGCCACCCGGGGAAGAGAGGCGAGAGGTCAAACAGCAGCAGGCCCGGGGGCCACAGGGAGAGCAAAGGTGTCAGACGCAGGGGAGACATGTGACTGGGATCCCCAACGGGCAGGGGGCCGGGTCGTGCCATACCCAGCCCTGCCCGGGTGCAGAGGGAACAGAGACAGAAGTCCCTGGCCTTACAGGACATCCACTCTAGCAGGTGACAGAAAACAGCGGGGTTCACAGCAAAACCATATATCAGAAGACGACACCTGCTAAGGAACAGACAGGAAAGAAGGTGTGAGCACAGTGACTTTCAATGGCTCGAATCTTTGAGAAAAGCCTTGGAAGGAGGTGGTGGGTAAGCCAAGTGATTAACAGGACTCCCGTGGGTGCATGGGGAAGAGCAATCCAGGCACAGGCTGTGCAAAGGCCCTGGGGTGCAGGAAACCAGAAGCCATGCCTGAGACAAGGATACGAGGGACAGAGAACGCAGGACAGACTGCACATGGCTGGTGGATGCCACGGCTCCAGCCTCTGCCTATCTCCAGGCCCTCATCACCCCAGCGGTCACCATGGTCCTGGGTTTAACAGTCCCCGTCTTAACTCATCTCAGCTGCCAGGCCCCTGTGCAAAGCAGACCCATCTCCAGAGGACATGGAGGTGGGAGGAGGGGGAGTGGACGTGCTCACCGGGGTACGGGGGCCAGACCGCGGCACCCGGGGCATGGAGACAGTCAAGGGACTGACCTGGGGACCAGGGATACAGCTCAGCGGCACAGCGCCTGCCTGGCAAGCGCGAGGTCGTGAGTTCGATTCCCGGTACCAAAAAGAAAGGGACTGACGTGCACAGAAGCAGCACCCTGACTTCCCTGCTTCACCCAGGAACCACCAGCATATGCACAACCTGCCCCTTGGACCTCGTCCAGGCACCCAGCACCTGCCAGGTTCCAGAGATGACCGCCCTCTGTGTCCCTGAGCTGCCAGCCTGGCCCCACAGCCTGGTGAGACAGCGGGCAGTGCCAGGTAGGTTGCCGTGGTGACCAAGCCTCCATGCTGCTGCTGAGCGGTGCTCCGGGGTGTCAGCAAGCACCTGGAGTCCTGCATGGGGACACACAGTGGTCCCCACATCTGTGTCCCTGGGCCAAAGGAGCAGTGTCAGCAGGCGCAAGTCCAGGCCAGCACACCGTGGTCCTGGAAGGGATTCCAAGGGCCCAGGACACCCAAGGGCTGAGCTCCCCACCCCAGGGCACACCCTGGGGCCAAGTGCTTCTCAAGACCCCCAGCAGCCCACCGTGGGGACACCGCCCACACGCCCTCCTCGCCCCGCCCTGCGGAACCAGGCTATACTCTGCCTCCCAGTGCTGAGACTCCCTCAGGAATCCACTGGATAAGATAAAATCAGACCGCAAAGTCAGGACAAAGGGAAAAAGCAGGGACAAACTACTAATCTGAGGAGGTCACGGTAAAGTAGGTAAAAAACCAAAACACAGGCCAGGATTGCTCAAGGCGGCCTGCGAGTTTAGCTCTCAGCTTCCGGGCACTCCATACAGAAGCCGTCCTGCAAGTGTGCGGCGGCCTTAGCAAAGCCTCAGGCTCCGTGCCACCTTGTGGGGCCAGAGACCGACTGAGTCAGCCTTACTACCGCCTTCCCTGCCCCATCCTGCAACGGCCAAGGGCAGCAACAGCTACTCAGCCAGGCCCAGGCTGCGGGGAGGACTGCTGGGGCTCCACTGGGGCCACCTGCAAATTCACACCCCTCTCTGGGACCCCGTATGCTCACCCTTGAAAACTCTGAGGTTAGTGAGAACAAGGCAGACAGCCTTACGCCACACACCTATCATTCCAGAGCTCTGGGAGGCTGAGGCAAGACGATCACAAGTTCAAGCCCGACCTAAACAGCTTACCAAGACCCTGTCTCAGAATAAAATATCAAAAAAGGGCTGGGGATACAGCTCAAGGTGAAGGCCCTGGGTTTAACCCCCAGTGCACCAAAACACTAAAATAAAACAAATGTGGTAGTGTGAGCCCAGGATCAGCACTGTCCTCTGTGAGGGGGGCAGAAGGACATCAGGGCTCCCAAGGTCTCTGAACCTCGGTCACAGCCGCCTGGCCTCAGAGGCCGGAGCCCACTAACATCGAGGAGGGCAGCACCTGGGGGCCTAAGTGCCGCAGTGTCCAGCAACGCTTTGCTCCGGGACCCCAAGTTCTATTTTTTGGAAATAGAACTTCATCAAACTTTATTCCTCAAACTTTTTTTCTTTTTTGGTACGGGGAATTGAACTCAAGACCTTGCCAGGCAGGCACTGCACCACTGAGCTATATTGCCGACCCCTAGGTTTTTTTTTCCCAATCAAAACCCTTCTTGCCTCCTGCACAAAAAGCAGCTCGTGAACCCCTGCCCACGTGCTCCAGCCCAAGCACCAAGGCTCACTTCAGGTGGAGCTGTAGTGGTGACCAGGACACGAGCATGCAGCTCATGCCACTGTGTTTGTTTTGGTTTGGCTTTTGAGACTGGGTCTCAGTATCTAGCCCAGGCTGGCCTTGAACTCACAGCAATCCTCCTGCCTCAGCCTCCCGAATGCTGGGGGTATAAGCAGGCCCCACCAGGACAGGTTGTGTTTTACACACACGCACACACGCACGCACACAGCCACTGAAAGCCGACATCTGCCCAGAGCGTCTGCAGATGCGGGCAGCCGTGACTGCCTCAGGGGACAGAAACCAGGCAGGCAGGGACCACAGGGACTCTCCGCACCGGCTGTACCATATAAACTTAATATTTTTTACAGGCCCTGCATTTTCTCTTATAAGAATACATTTTTATGGGGCTGGGGATTTAGCTCAGTGGCACAGTGCCTGCCTGGCAAGCGCAAGGTTGTGAGTTCGATTCCCGGTACCAGAAAAGAAAAAAAAAAAATACATTTTTATAAAGCCTAAAGCAATTGGCAGAGTCATGCTGCATTCCTTTTGGTTCTTCTGTATTTTTCAAATACAGTTCAAACAGCAACAGGGAAAAAGCCCCCCAGTGTCTCCAGAGCCCTATCTGTGTGGAAAGACACCCCAGCGCTGGACGCCACCACTCTGGGAAGCTCTTCTCGTGGAACCCGCTGTGCCCCTGGAACAGGAGGGTGCGCAGGCCTAGAGGGATGGTGGCCACAGCACAAGTGAGCCCCCCACCTGGTGGCCATAAATGGCACAGACCAGGGTGGCCTCCGGGCTGGAGAAGTGACCATCGAGAAAGGAGACAAGGAAGGGACCCAGCTGCAGGGACAGGGCCCAGGCAGACCAGCGCCTGTGACGGCGTGGCCCTGGGGCCTGGCCAGCGAGAAGGCGGGTTTCTGCGGCCAGGCTGACCACAGGCCCTCGGCCTCGCCTCCAGGGCTACTCCATTTCACTGCATACGTTTTTCTGGCACCCGGCTGTCTCGCGGAGTGGCCATCAGCCCGGCCGACAGAAATGAATCAAACCCGCTCTGCAGCTCCAAGTCACAGCGCACTACGGGCCACGCCACAAGTGCTGGACCCCACAGACACCTGGACAGCACAGGGACAGTGTGAGAGCCTTCTCCCCCGACGTCCTGTTCAAGCATAAAGACGCTAAGGATGACGCCAGGCATGGTGGCACACGCCTGTGATCCCCGCCCTCGGGGAGCTGAGGCAGGAGGGTCACAGGTTCAGGGCCAGCCCAGGCACTTTAACAAGATTCTGTCTCAAAATACAAAGGGCTGGGGGAGCAGCTCGGTGGTGGAGCCCTTGCCCAGCATCTGCCAGGGCCTGGGTTCCATTCTCGTACCATTAAAAAAAAAAAAGGCAAGAAAATGAAACAAACAGAGGCCAGCAGGTCAGAGACTCGGCTCAAGTCATGAACTGACAGACGCTCGACCCATACCCATGACCCTGATTTGCAAGCTCCTTTTCTTTCTAGAATCCCGAGGCCCCACGGCCACAGGTGGAGGCGAGCTCAGCACTGCCCAGCAGGCGCCCCGGGGGGTGCGGGGAGCAGCGCCAGGTCCCCACGACAATGGAGGCCACAGTGTCAGCCACAGAGGTGGTGGCAACCCCAGTGCAGAGATGGGAAAACTGAGGCTCCGAGTGTCAAGTCCCAGGCCCAGAGCTCAATAGCTCAAAGAAAGGGCTCAGGACGCTCACTGGCGGCCTTTTGGGGACTGTAGGGGACTCTCCCAGACTATCCCCTGCTGTGTATACAGGGCGATTCTTCAGGGCTGGACATACAGAAGGTCGAAGCCAGCAGGGCCGCAGTGGGCGGCACTGACAGCACTGACAGCACTGCCCAGACACGTGAGCGCAGCTCTCTGCGTGTGACCTTGGTGGCCTCGCCCCTGGCAGGTGGCACTGCCCGCCAGCGAGAACAGAGCTGCCCCCTTCCCCGGGTCTGTCCCCATGGATGCACCCCGCATGCGGGGCTCCAGGCCACAGAGCTGATCACGGACAGCTTTCCAGAGCCCATGACACTCCATGCTAAATAATTCAAAACCGTGTTTTCATTTCAAAATAAACAGCTCCCTCGCCCAGGCGAATGCCAAATTTGCACGAATGGTTAAGATAAGATGAGACTTCAAAGAAACGCCAGGCCCAACGCAGGCACCTCGGCCTCCCGGGGACACCACTGGTGTTTGTGCCCTCGCCAGCGGCCCGGCCAGGCAGGGCTGCAGTATGTCATGCTACACCGTGACAGGAAGAAGCCCAGGCCCTGACGCTACATCTCCTTCCCAGCTGTGTGGCCCTGGCTCAGTCGCCTAGCCCCCTGGACCTCAACATCCCCACCAGCGCCACGGGACAGTACCTCCAGCAACTCAGACCAGCACTAGGACTAAGCAAAGGGACCGGCTGGGCACAGTGCTGGCACACAGTAAGGGCTCAGCCTGTTACTCTGGATGAATTTCCAGCTGGAGCCCGAGGGCTCTCTGGGCAGCTGTGAGAGGGCCTTTGCTAAGCCTGGTGTCCCTGGGGGCGCGGGCCCTCCCCTAGGCCCGGCAGCAGCAGGAACTGCCAGCTCCTTCCTGTAGGCCGGCAGTGTGAGGAGTCGCCTTGGTCGCCGAGGTGTCACCTGGGGAGGCTGCTGCTTGGCGCTGGAGACGCGGCGAGAGGAAGCAGAACGGGAAGCACGCACACAAACAACAGCTCCCACTCCCCGTGCCCAGGCACCTTCGAGGTGGGGGTGTGCGCTGCCCAGTCACACGGACCCTCTGCCACTCCAGGTCAGAGCCCCAGCCTCTCCCCCGCCCTGCATGGGGGCAGCAGGCCGGAAGCCTCCCGCATACCCAGTCCCCAGGGCACAGGCAGGACTCCACCGGGCCCTTCCAAATGCCAGCGGTGGGTGGCAGCTGGCCCAGCCCAGAACAATCGCTCCCGCCCCAGCTCCGGTTCCACGCAGCTAAGTGTGTGTTTGCAGAGCTCTGGGAATTCTTCAGGAGGCGGTGAGAGTATTAATTGGGGGAAAGGAAGGGATTATGCGGAAGGACTCCCTCCTGCACAGGCGAACCCACACCGAGGGGGAGGGCGGCCCACCAGGGGTCTCCATCCCTCACCGGGCCTGACAGCCACATTACCATTTACATGGATTTATCAATACTATCGATCCGGGCCGGCGTAAATAGCTCCGTGGGAAGAGGCCAGGGCTGCCCGCGGCTCCCGCCCGCCCCCACGTCTGGGCCCAGGCACTGCAGGCTCCAGGGCACCCGGTGGCAGTAAATTTCCAAGCAGGGACATGGCAGCCGGTGTGGGAAGCCAGACAGCACCCAGGGCGCCTGGCTACCGCTCCAGGCTCCTTGCAGGCTTTGGGCACGCAGTCAAGCTGGACTCAGAGTTCACCTGCGATCCGCGGGCCGAGCCCCTCCGCATCCCGAGGGTCTGGAGAGGAAGGGAGCCTCTCCTGTATCAGGCGCCCCAGCACCTCCCCCAGGCAAAGGGGAGGCAGCCCCTATCCACGGCTTCAGGGCCCTTGGATGAAAGGTCGCGGGTCAGAGTCGGGCTGTAACACCAGGCCCAGAAGCACACACGAGTGCTAGAACACTCGGTCCTCCATGCTACCCCAGACCCAGCAGCAAGGCACAGAGAGGTTCAGAATTTGTCCAGGGTCACGCGGTCAGCAGAGCAGCAAGAGGAAGAACAGCGCTAACCCAAGCAGCCGGCGCTGCGGGGCGGGCCGCGAACTCGGCGCCCCCGTCCCGTCGGCTCCTCCCCACCAAAACAAAACACGAGAAGGCCACCCACGAAGCTCGCAGCAGCGCCCCCCGCGTGCCTGACCCCGAGCGCCCCGGTATCAAAGCAGCCACTGGGACCCAGAGCTGCTTTAAAAAGGGCAAAGTCAAGGCCACCGATAACAGCCCGGCGGGCCCGGGTCCCCCCCGCCCGCCCGCGGGGTCCTGCCCTCCTCCCTCGTCCCTTCCTCGCCCTCACATCCTTCCTCCAAATTTGCAAAGAGAAAAAAATAATAATCATAATAAAACCAGTTCTCACCAACAGGGGGGAGGACGCGGGGAGGAAGGGAGGCGGCCGAGCCGCCAGCACAGATCCGCCTCCGCCGCCTGCGACAGCCCCGCGGGGATCCGGGCGCGC